CTTCAAACTATATTGTGCAAGAAGCAATGGTGTTGAAAAAAGCCAGGGACCAAGCATTGTGACATAAGCAGAAAATTATCGGCGTGACGTTAGGTGACTGGAAGGTAGTACAGCGAAATAGAGAATTAAATGAGTGTATGCGGTATTTTACTTCACACAGAGGAAGAAAAAAAAGTAGGCCCGTCAGGCAGTCATCTGGTATGAAAATTGATGAGGTGATCGATGCTGAAGCAAACCGAACTCATTCGATGAGAGTCGCGATTTATTTAGAGGGATGTAACCAAGAAGATCGCCCCAAGGTAATGGAAACTACTTGTATGAGAGAGTAGAAATTATAGATGAAGAGACCTTCCTCCCGCAGTGAACGTTGAGGAGATTGCGCATAATGATGATAGTCACTACTACACTGCAGTTTCAAGTTTCTATTTACAATATTTTCTAGCGTTAGCAGGATGGTTAGACGTGGTTCGACAACTTGCCACGAAGTCCCGTGAGCACTGGTTTGTTTCGACAATCTCTCGTGCAAAGCATTATTTCTTCTTTATTTTTGCTATACGTAGTTGCACGCCAAATGGCTCCAAAGAAGCTTGCGAACGCATTAAAGGACTCGTGCATGTTGCGAGTATGGCTTCAGGTGACACCTGACGTAAGAGAACATAAAATAGTACGATGTGCTTTTCAGGAGGTACACCATATGGGACCTCGGTGGTGGTGCGAAGCTTGAAGAGATCGGCGCCGCTCTGGAGTCCAGCGCTGCCAGCTGGGTGAGATCGTGGTGGAGCAGCTGACAGACGCCACAGGCAGCGTCACAGATGATTGCGATGAGGGTCCCTATATAGATAGTGATGACGATTACTGGGAACCGAGGGTGAAGGTGATTCGCTTGTGAGTGAGTGCATAATCGAACCGTGTGGCAGTGCAGGCCAACGCGCCCTCGAAGCCCGTCTGACCCTGTCATGTTGTAACCGTTATTAAAAGTGACATTCTAGGCGCTCCAAGTGAAGTGGTATAGGAGCCTAAGCCGCTAAAATTAGCAAAATAAAAAAGGGGGAACCATATAATCACCGTGATTGCTTTTGCAACGTCCTTCATATATTTTATTTAGATATCGGTGACGTGTGTGGCACTTAAACTTCGGACCCCCTGCTAAATACCAAAAAAATGACATATTTAGGCCTATAGGGGTTCTTGAAAGTATCGGAACGGCGTAAAAGTAACACGTCCAACTTTACAGCCCAGAATTTCAAAAAAGAAAGTATTACACAGAAAGTGAGAAAAACAAATGCTGCCAGATGTATTCCAAACAGTGACGTATTTCTATAACAAATTACAAAAATGTCCTCTCAAAATCATCTCACAAACGCAAAATAATAAAAAGTTTTCTCCGGTCATTTCCCATTTATCCGGCCCACTACGTGACGCGAGCGGTCCGTCCACGTAATGTTACGAAGCCAAGTGAAGTCATAAAGTCATGTAAACCTATGGTGCCAAGTAGAGTCATGAGACGACGCAAATCTACGCAAACAGAGTCCCGAGTGAAGCGACTAAGTAAATAGGCTAAAAATGCTGTGAATAAACTTTTTTTGTGTTTATTAGGAATAATTGAAATATCGGAGACCGCAAGGGTGGGAGATGCTTCTGTGAGTGCGCCATCAACTGCATTACCAAGGACTGAAACTTACTTTCGTAGCGAAACGTGGGCAGTGTCATGTCGACGATAACATAACTTCACACCTCATCATCTCACACTGGCTTGCTATCTGAAATTCATTGTCAACAGTCTGTAAATATACGTGTTTGCAAATGTACACGTGTTCACAAAAATATTTTGTTTTCATATTTTGTACCTTATAAATTCGCCTGCGTGCGCTCCATTATGTCTCATTTGTTGGTGGGACACTTACTGAATAAATCATACGCTGGAAGTTAGTACTGTGTACGTGTCGTTCTACTGTACTCTCTTCTTTAGCAGTGCGCCAAAATCGTGCAACAAAAAACGTTGTTTGAAGGTGAAACAATATAAACCTTTCGGTCACTTTAAATAAATGCAATGCATGAAAAATAGATTACAAGAACAGCTTAATGCAAAGCCGGTTGGTAATGATATACCTCTCGAATCAAGGTAAGCATACAAACACGGACCAAGAGAAACGACTCGAACAAAACAATCACTGTCAACTGAGATACGCATATTATTTGCTTTTTGATTGAGAATGATCACAAGTATGAAGATAGCCACTAGTTAAAAATGGCTGGGCATTCGGCAAGTGCGTATACGTTGGCCGGGTGGCTGAATCGTGTCACAGACAGGCTCGCCGGTCATGGGTCTCTGTCATGCGATATTTCCGGCCTGAGAGTTGTCGCGCTTCGAACGCACCAGCCGTGATGAATTTTGACTTACTCTTTGACATTTCATGAAAAAAAAACTATGTTCAACATGTGCAATTTATCGAAAAATTGGCACGCCATAACTTATCCGTGCTAAAACTATGTATTATAAACAACCGAACATAAGTCAATATCTAAAGTTAGCTAACGAGATTTTTTCCCTACTCATAGTAACGTCATTTCCGCTGCGGAAAAGTATTTCCCACTCGTCATGCAGTTTATTTGGCGCACCGACGACTGTAACGAAGCCTGACGGTAAAGAACTTTCCAAAAGGTATCTGAATTTTCTAAAGAACGACCCCTGCACAGTTAGAGTTTCCTGAAGGAAAATATAGAGAGGACTCAGATTTGACTGGTATGTGGGGTTTAACGCCCGAAACCCATATGGAGGAGACTCTGGCGCTGCGATTGTTCAGCGACCATGCAAATATGGGTAGTACATAGAATTGCCTAGTATTTGTGCTTGAGGGCTGCGAATATTGTTGATTTATTTATTGCAGTCTCTGGATTCGTTTCTAATAAAAAATAAGCTATTTTTAACTTCGCGACTCGATTAGAATTTGTGAGCCGGAAATATTCAGGTGGTGAAGCGTAACTCATGAACTATCACCAATTGTTGTTTCGTGACAAAGCAGCCTCGAGCCATGCGAAGCCAAATGCAGGCGAAAGTACGAAGGTTAGACAAATTCGTGTACTACCCATCATTCCCATGCTCGCTGAGGCGCCATGCATTGCAGCTCTCATAGACACTAGCGCCAGAGTTTCCTTTAGTGTATATTAGGAAACTATATGCCTGAATATACCTATAACGTTTTGCTACGCACGGGGTTTACAAGTTTGTTTTTGTTCATGTCATATTCACTTGCTTGTTCGCGCAACCAGCGTTCGTATCCCGAAGAAATCTCCGGATTATTTTAGGATCTTCCGATAAGACTATGTGCAAAAGGTGAACATTAAAGTTTATTCTAGCACTCAAGCGGTCACCATTGATGAAGCTGGAATTTCTGATGACTATCGTTCAAATACCGACGTGCCTTACCACTTGGCCGATCACTTGATGACTGAGGACTATTCACCACGATCAATTCACAGTGCGAATTGCTTCTTTGCGGGTGGGTGTTTTTCCCTATTAAATTTTCTACTTGAACAGGCAGACTGCCGCAATCTTCAACACCATGATGACATAGCAGTGTAGTCGTAGAAGAAGAAAGGGAAATATTGGCAGAGTGGTAGAAGTGGGGTGCATTTCCAACGCAGTGTACAAACTGACGACAGCAAAAATTTCGTCATCTGTTAAGTAAAATGTCACAGTACAATATTACGCGACAAGCATATCTGTAGTATTAAACGGGTTCCTCCGCCTCCTTGGCGCACCTGGCAAAGTAAGCTCAAGTTTTTTGCGGTGCTACAAAACCGCGCCGAAGCTTCAAACGTATGCTTAATGGTCGAATCATGCTTTCTTTTAAAAGACCCAACACCTGAAGTGCCTAATTTGGCTTGCACAATCTTTGTTAGATTTTAATGACAGATCACGAGTGTTCAGCGCTCCGTTCTATCGTTCTAGTTGAAATCTATATCTATCAGTAGTTGTTATCGGGAGCAATCCTTCACGGCAAATCCAGGGACAAGGCGCCTGGTAAAAGGATGCTGCATCCCAGCATTGTGTGCGTTTAATTTTCAGCAGACTTTGCGGCTACTCCGTCGTGACTGCCTGACGTATCTGAAGCAGGTGAAGCAGCAAATATACAACCGAGAGGCTTCACTAACCGTCGCAACAGATGACAGTGTATGCCTAACTAGAGCAAAATGATTAAAAAACATATAAACAAAACAAAACACTACTGCATATATATCTAAAAAAATAAACACCACTGCAGTTGTTTTGCAACTGCGGTACCGCATCGACAAAGTGTTGCTGAATCGCGACAAATAGTCACAACAGCCTCACACTCTGCGAGTTCGAACACTCGCTACACTCAGAGCTTGTACCGACCAATTTAGAACCATGGCTCTCAAAGATCAACACAAGCGCACGGTGGGAGGAGTTTCTTGTCGTGCACGTCTGCCCTCGAAAGTTGCCCTCGAAAAAAAATGTCGGTATTCGAAATTTTTCGAGGACCGACAAAAAATGTCGGCCCTCGAAGAAAAAAAAACTCGCGTACAAAGAAGTCACGCGTGCTTCAGCGAAAATCGTTAAATTTTGACGGAGCAAGAATTATCGCCCCATGGAGTAACCAGCAATGCGCGACTGTTTGCAATCAGCCACAAGAACACACAATTCACTCTGGGAACCTACCTTTGTAACGAGATTGCACCACATGGAGCAGAAAAATTTCATTGGAATTCAGCAGTACGGCATCAACTTTGAGCAGAAAGGCGAAGAAGTTTTTGACGTTAAAGGTGTCTGATGTAGGACAAACCAAGTAAACAGTTGGTGGCACATGACCTAACAGCACTTAAAATAAATCGGTGATCTCGTAGTTCAAGTTACAGGTGTTCTAAAGTGGCCCAACTAACGAGCATATGGTCTGTCGGTAAACGAGTGTTCTGTCGAGGACCGATACAGACCGGGCCGGATGAAGAGACGTATATAGCCTGCGCCAACACTCATGGACGGATGTATAAAAGCGTTTATTCTCGGCAGTCAATGTCTACATCATTCCGGCAGCGGTGAGCACGTTAGGTATGTCGGCGGTGCACTCTGGGAAGGCCTGCGCACAGCCGGCAAGGCCCCGCGAGTGGCCAGTCTTGGCAGCGGTGATGAATACCGAGACCGCTCCAGTTCCGACGCCCACGTGAGTGTCAAAGAAATGCTTGGTCGCTTTACCCACTTTGCCGAGGCGTAAGGCGTCGGCGGCGCTCTCGCAAACCATGCGAGAGACACATTCGTGGTCGTCGATTCCCTTCAAGAAGGCGAACATCAGGTCTGTCTCGTGCTTCTCCTCGTCCACGCTGGAAATGTAGAGATGAAATTGGACACCTGATCACTCAGTGGTCAACGTTTCACTGTACGTGGCACAGTGATACGCTACAGATAACAGGTTAAGAATTTGTATTTACGCAACCAAATGACGATATGACAGACGTCCTGTAAGCAAGGGGGAGACAATGGTTTGAACGAAGGTGGTTAATGAACGTGTACTAAAGTCTAAACACAGTTATTTCAACAACTAACCGCCATGTAAATGCGGTCGCGATCACTGGCTAATCAACCCGCGTCCTCGGACTTCGCAGGCGCGAAGGTACCGTGGCGTATGTGTGGGAAATATAGAGCGTTTCTTGAAACGAGAATATTTCACAGCGCTTAACTAGAAATGTGGCGTTTAATTCAAATTGCTGACCGTTGAGCTAGCGTACAACGACGCGAACTTGTCCTACTAAGTCACATAAATGAGCAGCAAAAGCCACCAGTGGCTTGTGGGTCTAATTTGTTGGACACGTTGGACATTCGCTGTGCCCTATTAACCCTTAATCACCCAACTAGTACGAATCTATTGGCGTACAGACGAGTATAAACACGATGGCTGTGTGGAATGCAAAAAAATCGCAAAAAAAGTGGCATAGATGTCACACTTGTTCTCAGCCAGGCATCGATTTTTCGTGGGAAAGCACCGTGATTGTATTCGGAACGGGCACAGTTGGTGCAGGTTTGCAGTGGAATAGGTTTTTTTTTCGTAAATGTGTTGGGCGAACATGCCTCATCAAAGATACAGAACGTACTTTATGGGCATCCGGTTTCCGTGTGCTCCCGTTGTAATGAATGAACAAATTCGCTCAATGCATTGAAAAAACGTTGACACTAGACCAAGTTCTTGCGTGCGATTAGGTGAAAATATTTAATGAGGTGGTCTGTCGAATATGATACGTTGCTAAGAACCGAAAGGTACCGCTTCACCTTGTCTGGGCACGCCCCCTTTTTTGAGGCGTACCTCTTATCAGATTTTTCTGTGCCCCAGTTAGGGCACCCTTTTAAAAAAAAATGAAGAGTCACCGAATGCGTACAGAATTTTGGTTTATCCAGAAACTACGGTGTGTGGGTGCTACCGGAGGAGGCCAGCATGATAACAGGACACCAAGGCGCAAAACTGAACCAAATTGCGAAATAAGGCAGTGCTATTGGAACAGTAAGCATTCAGAGCGAGGTGCAACGTCCAGGCAGAGGCGTAATCGTCCGCACCACACACCATTAAACGTTTATAGTATTTTCAAGAACGCTCGCTGAAACGAAGGCAATAAACATAACTGCTTCTAGCCAAGAAATAAAGATGTCGCCACAAGACTCCGATAGCCTTATTGTCTAAGGATTACTTTCCTTGTGCGCGTACATATTTAGGAGAGAATTGCTGCTGATGTGCCTGGAAGGCTTTGCACTTACTTGAGGGCGTTTTGAAGTGACGAATTAGGGCCCTCAATTTCTGTCTTCTCGGTAGTGGTGGTCGCGTCAATAATGAAAGGACCGCTCCGCCCGGTGTGCTCATCGGACAGGGAATCGTCGAAGTCCGTGCCAGCCCTAAGGTTGAATGTGCCCGTGAATCCTTTGCTGAGCATAGACAGCAAGGAAGCAGCCATGGAGACCTTGAAGCCGAGGATGCCGTGCGCCGCCGAAACGATGCCACCGAAGGGCAGAAACAGGCTGCCAACGAACACGTTCTGCAGAAGAAGTGTGGCGATAAACAGGAAGCAGATAGCGGATGACCCCATGGCTGCAAGACAGGAAGGACAGCTTGAAATGACGCAATGCTTGTGCTAGTGGTGGCCCTTATATAGCTTGTGATTAGGCGCATGACAACTGCATTCGAAAGCGGTTGCCTCGGTCCTGTTTTCGCCGAGGCATCCCTCTCGAAAGTCGACCATTGGTATAATCGCCACGTGTCCATAGATTTGAAATCAGAATGAAGCGAGCAAGAAAAAGTAGGTGTTTTACAGTGAAACCTGTTGTGAGATCACGACACGGGTAACGCATGGCGCCGTAGGGGTCCGCCACCGCCGCCGGTGTCCGTAAGCAATATCGCACGAAATTAGAAAAAAAACTGAATAAAATGCACCAAGGACATAGAGAGAAGTGGGAATGGAAACCAGGTCCACCGAATGTCAGCCCTGTATTTTACCACTGAGCCGCGCCTGTTTTATTTTCATGCTCTAAATAAAGAATTTGCGTATTAAGGACGAAGTCAAGCAAACAAAAGTACACTCAAATGGCGACAATAAGCGTTGAAGCGTTAGTCATAAATACTCAATGGCTAATAAAGCGTGAGTTCTTGACATCGTGTTATGCAAACAAGAAAGGGGTGAGGTCAAACAGCTCTCCAAGATGAAGTACTACCCTGGTCTAAAGTCTAGCTCGTCTTAAATGTTTTTGAGATGACTAGCCATTTGAATAAAATGTGTGCTTGAAGAGCTGGTGGGCTTTGCATTGCGGTCTTGCATTTGTGTCTTCCACGAGCTGTGCATACCCATTAGGAAAAAAACATATTATATGGCACTTCATCAAGCGCTACTACTAGAAGATAACATATTGTGTGAGAATCAATGTCGAAACGTTTTTTTAGTGCTCGCTGAAGAACACCCCAAAACAGTATAACATCTTTCCAGCTAACAAAGCAAGGTTAAGTCATTTCTGACACATCACATAGACGGCAATTAACAGACGGAATAAAAAACCCTGTCTTTTTAACCAAATGTTTACCGCCAATGTTTCAAAGCGGAGTTTACAGAAGAACGTTTTTGAATTCGGTGGAATGTAAAATTTGCTCACCCGCTTCAACACATCGTGGCCTGGAAGACTGGAATACAGTGAGCAGTACAACGGAAGTGGGAAGAGTAGATCTTTATACAACGCCTTGCGCGATAAGGATGTAGAATACCTTGTACAGGTATTCTACAGAAAAGCGAGCTTTAAGGAACAGAACTGCGAGGTAGACTTCCTGCATGAATCCCCACAAGCATGGGCGTTTGGAGAAGTTTGATGAAACAATTAAGTCTGGTAAGCAATCAACAAGTGTAATAAAGAACGAATTGCAAGAAGGAACGGATTACGGGATGAGAATTGTCTCGAAAACAGAAGAATCATGACATTATTTACTATAGATAAAGGTGTTTTAATCCTAACCCACCCTCACTAACTGGCTTGACTATATTGTTACGACGCATGGGCTCAAAGGTCGAATACCATATGAAAGTAGCGGAAATCGTATCAAAGCGTTTTATATAAAATTTTGCGAAATAGATAAGTCGCATCACACAGTAAAGCTTTGTTACTAAGAAAGTATTGCAAGCTTCAGCTCTCCCATAGATTGAAAGTCGATAGGGAACAAGTGTCTGGGCATGTCGTTCAAGCTTAGGGACGCACTCCTTTCTGTAATGAGCGCTGAATCTATATGCATGCAATCGTACACCGAGGTATGTAGGAGGAGTTCTTGTCCAATTAATGTCTGCGAACTGTTCCAGTGAGCTATCCCACAAGGGAAACCACAGTCGTATACTCTTAGAGGCATTTAAACGAGCTCCTGATACCACGCCAATCTTTTCAGTAGTATATACCACATTTTCGACACTTGGCTTATCTCTGCAAAAGAATGCGACATCATCGGCATAAGCTAATACTTTAACTTCACTGCCGAAAATACTGAAGCTACAAATGCAAATCCACTGTATTATGCTTAAGCACAGCGGTTCAAGATAAAGTGCAAATAAAAGAGGTGACATCGGGCGTCCATGTTTTATAGAAGAGCGAATAGAAACAGGCTTGGAGAGTTGGCCATTAACTATCAGAAGAGTTGAGAATTCATTATAGCATAGTTTAACGCCTTTAAGAACAACTTTGCCAACATTGGTGTGTTCGAGAAGAGAAAAAAGAAAGGAACGACAAACACGATCAAATGAGCCGCCCCGGTGCTTGGGACTCATGCGCAAACTTTACTTAGACAGGCTGGACGTCGGAAAAAAATCGCGTAAATATAAGTAATTAAGCATTTTAGAACAGCAAAGGAACAACCAGAGTTCATGCAATGTGAATTTAGTAACGAGTAGGTCGTCCAGTGCTCCAACTCATTACAGAAGCTTGTTCTTGATCACCCATTAACTGTGGTACATACTTTGTCGTCGTCAGTCCACTGTATGAAACAGAAAAATTGCAAAAAGATTGTTGGAAGTGTTTAACGGATGCCACGCTTCTATGAATAATAACGAAGAATATGATAATGTATGTCGGCCTATACTACACAAAACCTATGATTATTTGAAACGTACAGGGCACCCAGCAACTGTGCTTCTAGCATATACCCAAAGAAAGTTTAAAAAAAGCCTCTGTAAGGCCGCTCTTTCAGCTTTCGCGGTCATTGGGCTGCTTCTTTCGCGCAGACATCGCAATATATTTTTTTCTGTCTTTTGTGTTGGTAATTTTAACGAGAGACAGCAGGAAGTCAACCGACGTGCGCGAGATGGTGAGCGTAATGCTGCTTTCGTACTCTCCTTCGAATGTTTCACCGCAACAAGAGTTCTCCTTAGAGACCGTCCGCTAAATGCTTGAATTATTTTTCTAAGTGGACTCCCCCAGCCTTTAGCCCGAACAAGCGTTAAGTGGTTCCATACGTCATTCTGTTCTGCAAACCTACGCTTTGAGTTTTTCTGGTGGTGTTAAAAAATGGCCCACCCCGAAGATACGTCAAGTGCGTATTCAGTGAGAGATTATTTTGATAAAAAAAACTGCAAAGCAAACAAATAAAAAGAATGGAGGTGCCGGGGCTTGAACCCGGGACTTTTCGCATGCGAAGCGAGCGCTCTACCACTGAGCTACACCCCTTTTTTTTCTTTATTTCTGGTAAACTTCACATATGGGTTGCTACGCTTAATATATTACAATTCACAACGAGCAATACAACAAACTGGAAAATAACTAAGCCCGTCAAGCATTACTATAACACATCACGTTCTAGAATTCCTTCATGGTCAGTAGGGCTTCTACCCTTTCTACCCATAAAGGTACACATTCATCTGTTCTTACTACCTCGAGTAATCTTGAGATGCAATCTTTAAAATACTCTCTTGCTGGTCTTCTGTCTGGGTCACAATGAAATCCAGCCATTCTAGAGCGCCATATACTGTGCAAGGCAGTCATCATAATAAAATCGAAAGGTAATCCATCCTCATTCTCTATATCCAAATACCTGATCCCATGAGGATCTAACGGGAACTCTTTTTTGATTGTCCTTTGTAATACGTCCCAAAAATAAACTCCTTCCCAACAGTGCAGAAAAACATGGTCAATAGTTCCCGGTTTCTTACAGATCAGACAGTGAGATCCCCAAGGCATATAAAACCCACGCTCTTCTAGGAAGGTTCTTACAGGAAGTGTTCCAGTGTGTAATTTGAAAAAGAACGTTTTCGCACTTGGAGCTGCTGGCATTTTTTTAACTCGTTTAAGTACATTCTGACCCTTGCGTGCTGTATATAGCGCTCTGTACAATGGGATGGGGAGCATCGTGTCACATAAATCTTTGTACAGTTTTTTCTTTCCAACAGACCACAGGTAGTCAGTTGAAAACCGAACACACAAAAACCGCACGCTGGCCACAACTTCCTTCATGTATCCTTGCACAGCCCCTGTGGTAACATGAGTGCTCACAACAAACTCGGGCAACAGTCTACTTAGTCTTGTTTGACACACTGTTAGTAGGAAAGGATCTCTTGTCTCGCGAAAAAAGAAAAACCTATTTACTAACTGCTTGATAAACAAATGTTCTAGCCCAAGGCCTCCACACTTCACCCGTCTAAACAAATTCGTGCGACTGCACCTTTCCCAGTTAGAACCCCACACAAATACTGCAAACACCCTATGTAATTTTTGCACATTGACCCGGGAACAGTACATCACTTGCATCACATACCACAGCTTTGACACAAAAAACCAGTTGCATGCAGTAGCCCTAGCAAACATGGACAGATAGGTTGCATTCCACCTATTCGCTTTCTCTTTAATTTCTTTCGTTTGCTGTGTCCAATATTCATCAGTACTTTTGTATGACTCAAGCGGTACTCCGAGATATTTAACTGGCGTTCTTGTCCATTTAATTGCTGCAAAAAATTCTGGTGTTGAAGGCCAATATCCATGCCAGAAGCCGAGGCATTTACCCCAGTTTATGTGGCTTCCTGTAACTTCGGCGAAAGATTTAGAAACTCTGATTGATTCTTCAATACCTACATAGGAAGTGCTACAAATAGCAACATCATCAGCGTATGCGAGTAGTTTGACCTCTGAAGATTGTACTCTAAACCCATTAATGATGTCATTCTGCAATATCAACCTACATAAAGTTTCAATATAGATGCAAAACAAAAGTGGACTAACAGGGCAACCTTGACGCACTGAGCGCTCAATTCTAATGGGGGGGCCCAATGTCTTGTTAATAATTAGTCTCGTACTACCATTCCGGTATGCCATGGCTACTCCGTCAATAATTATCTTACCAACATTATTGTGCTCCAATACTGCAAACAAAAGAGCGTGGGCAACGCAATCAAACGCTTTCTCCAGATCCAGCTGGAGTATGGCCACACGAGCTTGACTGGTGTCGACACATTCGAGCACGGATCGCATTTTATGAACATTTGTAGCTATGAACCGACCTTTGATTCCACACGTTTGGTGTGGACCAACAATATCTTTTATAACTGACTGAAGTCTAGCTGCCAAAATTTTCATTAATATTTTGTAGTCTACATTTGTCAGTGCGATTGGCCTGTACGCTGTG